CTGGTTTGTTCAAAGATGAATGGTCAGGTGATGCTATGGTCTCACTATCGAGTAAGAAGTATATTTGCAAACTATACGAGGATTCGTACAAGGTAAAAGTTTCAGCGAAGGGTTTTCAGCTGGGAAGTGGTCGAAACAATGGTAGTTTTAATCCAGATGGGTTTGATTCTGTAGTACGGGATCGCATCAAGCTTTAAGGTACAAACAGGGGGTTCAGAATATCGAAAGAAACCAAGTCTATTATCACCTATACACAGGCAAAACAGCACTACTAAGACAAACGATAAGTACTTAATGATGATATCACGACCGAAGCACTTGATAATTAAGCAGGTAATCAGTGGGAATTTTTTTAAATTTAAATATAGATCATAGACGCGCTACTAAAGACCCTCTACTATGACCCAAGAACTGATTTTATCGGAGCTCAAGCTCTGTGCAAAGAAGTTAAATCCTAAGATAACTTTCAAAATAGTAAAGGATTAGTATGGGAGTCAGATCGATATTCAGCGATTTCAGGAGCAGTAGAAGAGATTCAATGGTTTCAAAATAGCCTTGCATAACTCCAACTCGTGGCAAATTGATCTTGCGTTTGGTAGAAACGGCCAACTTTTACTGCTATCAACATCAACACAAGGCCGCGGTACTCACAGCTTTACGAAACAAGACGGTAGCAACTGTCTTAGCAGCGCTTAAAGCGTTTATTCGTCTTCACAAAGTTTATATCCTAACAAATGATAATAGAAGCGAGTTCATGAACTGACAGGCTCAAGAATTTCTCCAAACTAAGAAAATTGAGCACTACAACAACGAACCCGGTGATCACGGAATCATGGGTTATCGAACGATTCCACAGGACCTTAAAGTAGAGATTACCCACGAAAATTACGCAAAAGCTTATCACTAATGTTAACAAAAACTACAATCCCACGTTTCATCGTTCGATTGGTATGACCCCGAATAAAGCAAAAGGCAAAGTAACGAATGCAGATCTAGGTCGTAATCAAGTGGAAGCCGAAAGAACTAAGAAAGGGTTTGACGTCGGATCAAGCGTATTATACCGTCTCAAAAAGCATGCATGTGATAAAGAAACTTGCTCGATGGAGCAAAGCAGTCTATAAAATGTTGGGAGTGATGGCTATCCAAATACATTCACGAAATGGGCATAGAAGTCAAACGATCTTAAAATCTTCAAACAGAGTCTACAGATGCTACAATCAATCGAGGCGATATTCTCAAGGTGGAGAAGATCTTGGGTCACAAAACGATACGCTTTGGAAAGCACACTTATCTGATAAGATGGGTGGCAATGAACCTGACTCCTGGGAGCCACAATATAATCAACGGCTGGCTAACAAGAACAGGAGATCAACGCTTGAAAAGGAGTATTTGAATTCAAGAAAAATCTGACGTAGTTTCACGCCGCGCCACAAAGAATTTAGTCATAATTAGCTTGTCAATATGTTTGATAGAGAAAGTCTCTGTAAGCTTTTGACTCAAGTATATAATCTCAAATATTTTTCTGAGTTTTTTGGGAAATTTCTGGCTAAATACATAGCAAAAGATAGTAATCTACCCAAAGTGCTTAGAAAAAGAGCTTCAGCTGGTTAAAATTGGACGTAAGCTTTGGGTGATTCAGGAGGTGAGTTGAATCAAGAATGATTTGCAGTATCTTAATGCAACCATGAAATTCCGCAAAAAATTGTAAATCGTCAGTATCGCCATGACTTGGAAGCATTTTTTGGATCTCGATCCCATTGCATCAAGGATCGTTATCTGTCATTCGTGTCTATCCTTTCGTCATGACTCAGTTATGCCGAGCTACTGGTAAGAGTATTCAGGGCTACTCATTTCACATTTTATGATTCGTTTGATATCGACACAATTTTATAAATCCTATATCGCTCGCTCAGAGAGAGCAAAAACGGCAGGAGCTCTTGAAGACAGTTTCGAGTTTGATACATCGACTTCAACCTCATTAGATCAAGTTGATAGTAAGAATCAATTGCTTTGGTCTATTTTGAAGGATAAGGCACTGCTTGAGTCGACTGGTTTGAAAATGAAAATCATTCCTATTCTCAAGATCATAGGTACAACGCCTCAGGTGGATATAATTGGATACATGTGGATTTATGGTTCATCAATTAGCGTATTTGGAATTGATAGTGGGAGAGTCAAGCCCGCGATGACCAAAAACATTTAATTGGAGGTCAACTTTTTAAGAATTTATCAATTTAGTGAATGATCGCGACGAAGTCGATCTTTTGACTAACTGAGACACCACTAAACTTGCAAAGGCCTTTGAACCACGCGATGGTGAGGCTCGCAATGGAAATGATGAAGAGATATATATATTTCTCTTACTAATGCTGATAACGATGCGAAGAAGATTCTCATGGACTACTACAGCAAAACAGTATCTGAAGGAGTTCAAATTCCTTTTAACTAAAACCAACAGTAGATATCAAAATTGGTGTGAAAGCTAATCAAAACTACTACTTTAGTGAGCCTACCGCATCAAAACCATTTTCATCAAAAACCACGAAAACAAAGCGATTTCTGGCAAGGTTCTCAACAATCTTATGAAAAACATTAGATGAGTGGACACTTTCAATAGCCTGATGACCGGGCTTGATGACATAGAGCGATATGCTATGAGAATGATGATCCACCATTGAAAACAAATCTCGAAGCTTATCTTCAGCTATTGAATCGAGGCATCCTCGACAATACAATATCGACAGATACATCAGCACAAATCAAATCCTCTGAGGGTACTCAATATCACGATGGCACTTTGCAAAAACCCCACGATGACACTTTGCAAGAACTCCACGACTCAAAAGCTGCTTTTTTGAAGTATGGAGAAGCTCAAAGGAAATACGATGAGGCAAGGCGAGCAGTAAAGGATAATAACTCAAAATCTGCATGTTCAGCGTTGAAGGCGGCGACCGCTGCCATAAAAGCGACCAGGGCTGTCTATCAAATCAAGGCCAAAAGCTACTCTGATGCTAGAAACTACACCGAGGTTGATCAATTTAGTGATCAATTCGTATGGGAACACAATGGGATGAAGTCAGTGAAGGACCTGCAGGTTTAGTACAATAACTTCGATGTAGTCCCATTTATAAAGGCTATCCAGGCTCAACGCAAACATATCAAACGTTTTGACCTCGACATGTTTACCGATAGTGTATCCCCTTCCAGGGCTTTTGGAGATGACTATGTATCAGATATGCTTAAAAAAACATCACCGTACGAATTATCCTCTGAAAGCATTCAGCTTTCCAGCCAAACGCATGATTGGATACAAGACCCAGGATGCTGAAGCAAAGCGCCAGTTCAATATGAGTCTCAAGCATCCCAACAAGCTTCTATTTCAGCAAGATACTTGTGTGGACTGTGCTACAAGCAACTACCCATAGATACAGCATCCGCCGATCGAATCAACAACAAGCTTGGGCATATCGATAGCAATATCTTGACCAGTTGTGTTGAGTGCAATGTTGCTCGTCAGGATATGTCTCTGAAGGGGGTTTCGATACAAAAAACGGCTGAATCTCAACGCAGACAGGCTAGTATACAGCATCGACAAGGTGCAGAAGGATTTCTATGCTAAGATGAAGCATAACGTTGCAGAAAGACCATCTATCATCTTCAACAGATATGCCAAACGCAACGAGACAACGATTGGTGGTAAACTCAGTATAATGATCATCGGAAACGATGTCAATGCTTTATATCTTTGGGCACTCGGTAATGGAATGCCATGCGGTCGATTGACTACGATTGAAGCATTTCCGGGCATTATCGAATACATCAAGGCGGACAAAGTATTCGGATTCCTTGAGTATGGCATCCGTATTCCCAATCACCTGAAGGAGTATTTCAGTAAGATGACACCGATCTTCAAAAATACTCTTATTGATTGTACAGATGAGAATGTTATTGGTTCCCACATGTTTAGCTATAACGAGACCCGCAAGCTAATTGGAAGATACTCTGGGGATAAAATTCCCATATACACCCCATTGCTTAATGGGTACCTAGCGCATGGAATGAAGATCACAAATTTATACCTTTATCAAGGCCGTTCCTAAAAAATAGTGGGACATGGAACATTACACCGGCATTTTTTTTCATTACCGCAATTTACCACCGAGAACATTCCTGAAATCATTTTTCGGGACAGCAGCGATTTTATCGACACAACCTCTCGACAACCTTATAGCGAGAGCCACATAGCGATATTATGGTAGTTTTAGAATCGCTCAACCGCTGAGAACTAACAGCTGCTATTTTGACGACTCAACCTCTCGGCCATTTTATAGCGAGAGCCACGTCTTTTGTTTCTTAAATCGTTTCGGGACCGGTCAGCCGACAACGTGCCTGGTAAAAGGAATAGAACATTACGTCGGACCTGAAGGATTAGTTCGGACCAGCGCGGCATCCTTGATTGAAAAATATGTCACACACTATCATGTTTGCCCAAGTACGTCATAAATTCTCCCTCCCATCGTCCTCATTCAAGGATCGGCCTGCTCGAAAAAAGAAGATGAGGCTTTTTTGTGCGATTGTTGGCATGGCGGGCAGCGCGTTCGAGGTGAAGATCGAAGATACTAAGTCCGTTTTAGCGTTAAGAAATGAGATCAAGAAGAAGAAGAAGCCGAACAAGTTGAAGGACGTTGATGCCGACGACTTACAGCCTCTTTCTGGCTAGGAAATAGGATGGGGGATGGCTGAATGGGGCTTGTTGGCAGGTGTGACATCTCAGGAGGGTGGCACACCCGCTTTACGCGATGAAAGTGGAGCCTCTAAAGGCTTTAAGAACATGGATCCATTGCTGTGAATAAACAATGACAAGCATTTCGGAAAGAATTTTGGACCGACAGAGGGCGAAATTCACGTGGTGGTGGTTTCGGAACAAGCACAACCAATCACAAACGGAGTTTGGCTCGTAAATGGATCCGTTGAGAGCGCGTCGAACACGAAAGTTATTCGCTGCAGACTTTACCGTCTGATTACATCATACCTTGGCTACTACGATTCTGCGCGCTGCACCGGAGACAAGGATACCGCACTATGGTATGAAGACAAGACGCTGTGCTTTCATAGTATATTCAAGTCAATTAAGTTACCTATCTCACTGCTGCATGTAATGGTTCTTTGGTGGGCTAACTATTTTTTACAGGAGAAAATGCTCTCCTGGTCGACAACGTATTACAGGATTAATGTATTACACAAATGGCCCCACTCGACGACCACGCTGTTTTTACAAATGTAGTCCCAGTATCTCGACAATTAAGCGAGCTACGGCGTATCTATGCTCCGCAGAATACCGAATCCTATCTCTCTCGACAAGCACCACGATCGTTGATATGATGACTGTAAGTATTTGCATATCGAGAGTAAAGAGTGATTCGGGGATGAGGGGAAAGCGCAGAATTGTCATTTGATGTCAAGAGATCATTGCCGGAAATGTCCAAGCTGTCGTAAGGATGACAACGACCCAAACAATCGCCTCCTTTTTCGTCTGCCACGCACGACTGGTACGATGGTCGCATGTAGAACGTGCCGATTATGAATATTTCCGTCGAATCCGTGTCTGAATGACTGGTAATCGGAGACTGATACAATGTATGAGTGTTTGGTGCACTGATATAGTGCTTGAGTACTTTTTGAACCTGATAGTTTGCGCGCTAAAAGCTAGATACGCAAAATGGATCTCACTGCTCTTGACGGAAGGCTTTGTTGCGTCGAAGGATGGTTTGGAGATGTGCACATTTGTCTATGTTCAAAACCCGAAGGTGTTTTCCGTATGCATGGAGTAAAGGCGTAAAGAAATCGATAAACAGTGGAAATCGTATTACAACATGGTACCTACGATAGTTTGTGCAGCGGGCTGCCGTAGCATTGCGCTTTGAGGAAGCGTAACTTAGGTCACCGACCTTTCGTTCTATACTCTGAACAAGTACGAGTTTAGCGGATCGCAATCTGCTTACTCCAAGAGTAATTATTGCCTTAACCCAAGGCTAATTACTCTTCCGTTTAAAATTCAAACTGGCTTTATTTATTTTTATCTGCAGCAAAGCCGCTTAATTTTAAATGTATAGATTTTCCTAAATATATATAGCAAAATCTGAATACATGCATAAGTACTGGCTACCCAGCCACATACCGTATTCTTGTTTGGGTGCAGTCACATTATGCCCAACTCGTGTGACACACACACCTGTTACCAGGGTACGTGTAACCCCGTTACAGATTGACTACTTAAAATACACCTCGTGCGTACGATTGCATTCTCAATTTTTTCATCCTAATAGATACAAAGTTAATAATATAGGAAGATGGCATTATCTCCTAAGCATGACAAAGATAACAATAGCGCATTAAAGCAGCGCAGAAACGCTACTACAAGCGCACACGTGAAGCTTGTTCACCCTATCAGAAAGGGTACGACGACAAGAATAGAAGTCAAAGTCGAGAGAGAAAGCGAAAACCAAAAATCGAACCTAATCAAACCAAACCGATTCAAACTTAAATATTTTTTTATATTATTTTTGATATATTGTCAGCTCTAATATAAAGTCAGTCAGCCCTAATATAAAGAGAGGGCGTCTAAAGATAGCGCTTTAAAAACCGCAGCTGTTGTTGAAGAAGCTTTGAAACGACCCTCGATGCGAAGAAAAAAATGACGTTGTAATGTTCTAAATATTACTATTATGACAGAGGTACTACTAAGATTTGGGTGCGTATCAGAATCATCTGTTTTGCTAACGAGGCGAGAGCCGAGGGCAATGTTGACTTGTCATACTCACATAAATTTTTTCAAGCTTGACATAGAGTCATCACGGTAGAATCCTTTGTGTACGTGCGATCCCATGTGGATCCCCTTGTAAAAGCGAAAGTGAGGGTCAGTCTTATATCTGACCTTGTACTGCTTCGCTGTAAGCTTTTAGTTTCTGGGGCGCGATAAGTTGTTCACATACACCATCTTACCGGTCCTACCACGAACCTTAACTCGGAAGCTGCTTTATAATCCTGTAGACCATCAAGCTCGTATGCAAACAAAGCCGTTGTGTATATCGTAAGCTTTTTTTCTCTTCGTGAAATGACTACATATTATTAAATTTTGTATCCGGATTGAGGTGCGAGGAAGACCTCCTTCGTACCTTCAAGCACCGCACATAGCAACATTGGGATTACATGCAAAGAAGGATTCATTCGAAGCGAAAATCATGCTAATCTCTTTGAACACAGCACATTACGTCGGCATTTTTTCTTATCGCCAGGTTTCATTCAACCACGCAAGTCTGTGTGACACGCCTTCATTTCCGCTTAAAAGTTCTCTCCC